CGCCCTGATCCCGGCCTGGCGCCATGTCCACCAGACCAGGTACCTGTTTACCCAATTTACTGAATTTATATAGTTTGAAAATAAAAATTGAATAAGAGTTCAAGATCAAAATTATATATATTGAACAAGAATGATTTGCATAGCATAATCTGTGGCTAACAATTAAGTGGAGCGTCAAACTGATGTGTTTCCTTGTTAGTTATATTTTTCCTTTCAGAAACTATATGCATATAGGCATTCTAATAATAAAATTGATTTTTCAATCGAACAAGATTTTCTACACGAGGAAGGTAATTTTATATTTTCGATGCCAAAGGAAAAAAACAAAGATGGATGCACTTTCATTTTAATAAGTAAGTGAAAATCTATAATTATAATATGATGTAGTAAAAACAATCAAATAAGGTATGTTATAGATGTTGTAAACTATTTTGATAGATTTATGATCAAACCTGAAACTTAGAAACTTAATAGAAAGTATAATATATCGAGCCACTTTTTAGAGCTTAATTTATTAGCTTGTGGCTCCTATATAACAAGAATCAAAAATAACATTGCATTGTTAAAGTTCATCTTCGAAAAATATAAAGTAAATGTAAAGATAAGAAATTATTTCAAATCTTCAAACTTAATCCCTTTTAAGACCTACTTTTACATTTTCTTTATTCCCAATTTCCATTTCTTATTTTGCCACGCCATCTCTTGGATTTCTATATATTTTATCTTCAACAAACATTTGATCCGACGAAATTCTACTTTTTAAGCTCGAATCGAATCCTTACCTCCCCTCCAAAGCTAGTCCAGTCACCGAAACTCAGTCCGGCCAACCTCGGCCTTCTCCTGTACTGACTCGCGTATCCAGGGTCCCTTTGTGCCGCCTCTTGCGCTGCCAACCTGTAAAAACACGCAAGATGAAAGGAGTTAGCCGCGAGACTCAAAGAGGATTATCGGGCACGTTTACACGATCGTGTATTTCTCCATTTACCAGAGGACCAGAGATCGATTTTGTAAACTTCTCACTGTGTGTCACCGTGCAAACAAACTGGAAAACGAACAATGCATACCTCGTGAAGGAAAAAAGAATACGAAAAATCGCGTTTGATCTCTCGATACGTTCCGCGAGTTGAAGGTTTCTTTTGCGAAAGAAAGATCGCATTCAGAGATTCAAAATTCACGCGATCGACTATTCGAACGAATTCGCGAAAAATTGATATTATTCATATAGTTGAGGACAGTGATTGGGAAGAGAGGTGTTTCTAAGCGTTTCCGAGAGAGGTCGTTAATAGAAAAGCGCGTAATAATAAAAATGGCGGATTAATTGACTATTATTGAATATTACATAGACTTTTGAGAGTAGGATTTATATGTGATTTCTCCTATGAAAATTGAAATCGAAGTGTCAGGCATTCGTGCATTTTGTTAGCAGATTTTTTTAGTGATTCATCTTGAAGAATTTCAATTTAGGGATAAGATGCTCTGTACAAAAAAAATATTTAAGATACGATTTTTCACTGTGAATTCTATTTAATTTTTTCGTGAAATATTATTGTAAAATGATATATATATGTTAGTTAATTAAAGATTGTGCATTAAGTTGCGAAGAGGATTATACATACGCGATATATTAAAAACAAATCACGAAAGAAACGTAAAATATTAAGCGTAGATTATTATTAATTTTGTGCATTTTTTGAATAAAGTTATTGTTTTTGTTTCTAGATAATTTTTGAATTCTCTGAAGAAAAAAGGATCCAACAATGTTGATGGAATCATTGATTCATTCTTTTTAATTAAAAGAACCAATAATAGTAAGATAGAATCTGTTTTGTAACCAATATATATTTTAGCACTCAATTCAACATTAAGACTTTTGAGTATGAATCAATATAAGTGGTTTTAAAATCAAAATTCTTACGTTTCACAAATGTTATAATTTATTTCAAGAATAAAAATTAATCAGATATTTCTAAATAATAAAAAAATTAAAATATCTATTGTATCTCTATTAATATTCATTCTTAGGAAATTATACACTAGCTATTTCACGTTCTATGAATATTAATTATCCCCTATAGTATTCTTTCCTTCTAATTCATATAGTTGTAAAAATGAAAAAAAAAAAAGAAAAAAAAAAGAAATATTCGCTGCTGAATTTGCAACAAACGCGCGAAAGAATATATTCCTGATCGATCGTTGCCACACTCGGGATGTTCCTAGGAACCCTCTAAAGTGCCCCTCAAGTTTTTCCGGAACTCGAGAATGCCGGATGCCCTTCACACTGTAACGAGAGTAATCGAATAATGCGCAATTTCTAATGGCGAACAACCCCTCTCTCTCCTGCTTAAATGGCGTCCTTGTTCCTCCATCGGAAATGCCAATTTAATATTCGGCTTTAACACTAAGAATTTATCCAACCACGTGATGCGCGTCTTCATCGACAATTAACTCGATTCTCAATTAGTTTGCATAATTCTCAGTAATGAAAAATGAAAAATTAGAAAGAGTTTATAGTTTGTTAATAGTGGTGAATGTGCTCGTCGAATCGATATAATTTATTTATTCATTCGTTGATGCAATTATTAAGAAACTTTCTTGGATTTTGTTGGGGATGATGATTGGTATCAAGTTTATTTTTGTGTAATTTTATAATGATTCGTGTTCAGAGATGGAAAGTTGATATATTATATATATATGAAATTAATTTAATTAACAGAATTAAATTTCTTATTAATTTAATCCACATAAAGTAATAAAATAAGGATCTACATTCGTGTGATTCTTGGCCAACCATTTCCTTAATTTTTGCAATTATAGTCAAAAGTTTTTCAACAGAGTCCATGTGAATTTTTAGAGATATTAATACCAAATTAAGAAGGAATTGAAAAATTGATTTATAATAAACTGATTTATAAAAAAATAAAAGTCTTTATATTTTATAAACTTTTTGAAGATTGAGATCATAATCTTTCCTTTATATATTTCTGATTCTAAATTTATGTTTTTCAACTATATGAATTACTGATTGAAGAACATGCAATTTCTTGTGAAAGAAGTTACTCTTGATTCTTACACAATGTGAGCATCATTTTTAATTTCTAAAAGATGATTCACATTGACAGACAATTGCCTGAATAAGAATAATTCACAGATAATGAAAGATGAAGCATGAATTCAGATTTCAATTTTCTGTATCAAGTTAAACGTGAATATTAATCTGCATATATGATCTGTAATGACATCATAGAAGATATAAATAGATGTAAAGAATTTTAAATATAAATTTCTGAATCTTTTTCAATGATTCTAATAATTCAAAACAATACTGTAGAGAATATATTTCTTCTATTGATAAAGATCCTAAAATTAAGATTTTCAAACTACTTAATCAATTCTCTAAAATTCTTAATGTTACTCAATTCCTGATTAAATATTTTTTCTAGTAATGATATTCTAAGGATAACAAATAATAATGATTTCATTTGTAAAAATATTTTAATGGAGGAAAAAAGAAAGTTTTTTTTAATTTTATCTTAACAAATTATTTGAATTTATATTACGATTGAATATTAATATAAAAATATTAAGATAAAAGTAATGTTTGATGTACAATAATTTTAAATTTAAATCACAAAAGTGAATAAGAAAAATAATTTGAATACAAAAACTCATAGAACTCATTGCATCAATTAATGTGAATAAATTTTAAATCTCCATTCAATCTCCATTCAAAACATGAATCACAACAAAGAAAACTGATCAATTCCATCGTGGTGAATTATTTTAAATAATATAAATAATTACAACGAAATGCCAAAATTTAAAAAAAATAAAATTGATCTACCTGACTATCGAATAACTTGAAACGATCTCTACAATCAACTATATTTCCTATGTATTGAATTGTCTCGATATGTAGCTCGAATTATTTTATTTTATAACAAATTTAGATTTATTTGAAATGTTCGACGCGCAATCTTTTCGGTTAATTAATACCGATTTAATTTCGTATTGCGTATGATATACAGATTTCATTGCTTTCAATGGCAGGGGGATAATTTTCCATCCACGCCAAGTTGGCGCGTGCGAAACGGCATTATTATCAGTTAACCGCGGAATCGTAATAACAGTAACAATGTTATCTATCAAACGTAATCCCTGTTACATACTCAGACGTCAACGACGATTAAACGTTGTAAAATTTAGATTTAAATTCAAACAACGATTATAAATCTACATTTCCTTTAACTGTTATCAAAATATTATAGAATATTAGAGTTTTTTCCGGATACCCCAACGTTTCATAATTTTGCTCTTATATTCTGTAATCTTCAATTGATTAATTAATTTTTATTTTTTTTATTGAACTTTATTCTTTCATTCATCCTCCACCAAAGAGTTGATATAATTTAATTTCATTGTTCGTATCAGTTAATTAAGTTAATAATTCCAAAAACTTTTATTATATTTTTTATTATCCATTATAGAATTAGTGTGTTCATCGTATCAATTAAAAGTTAGTCAAGATATAATTAAAAATTTCCAATTAATATATTTCGATTTCGCCATATCAATTAGTTAAAGAAAACAATAGTTATAATAACTTATATATATAATTTCTTCTACGAACAAATCGTGCATCCCTCCTCCCCTCTGTATAGAATCATTAACAATCGCAAAAGCACGAATCCCTATCAGATTGCCCATCCATTCGCCTCTCTGGCCCGTCTCTGAACGTCTTTGAATTATTAAAATCGAAGCACGAATAATTGATAGAGCGCACCTCGTAACGGAAAGATCGATAGTACTCTCGAAAATGAGCCATACCACTATCTCGACTCGACAGAGGGACGATACACAACGCATCATCATACTGGCATCGCTTACTCTTCGAGAATGCTCCGATGATTGTTTCCAGCAACAGGTGTAACCCCTATTGCTGATTACACATCGATGGAAATTTCGAAATTTAATTGGTTGGGCGTGATATAACATATTGAGCGTGCTTAATAGCGTGTGTTTTCTTGCTATTAGTCTTGCGGGGTGAAAGATCAGCAGATATCAGACTCTGTTGGAATCCGAGCTAATTGATTTTGCGCTCCACGAGAACGGGATGCAAAAGCTGTTGAGTTCGCTTGCCATGGATAAAACGGTCCCTGATTGGCGTTTGATTGATATATGGTTGTAAGATGGTTCAATTTATAAGATTTGATAGAGCCATTGTCCTGATAAAGGGGATCTTGGACCAGTATTCGACAATATTATTGGTCACGTGACGCTCAAAGTGGTGCTCCCTAGTGTCGACGCGCCGAATTAAATTCCGAATTCCACCATCGTGGAAAAATCGATTTTGATCGAGTATGCGCTGAAATGCTCGTGATAAATGGATCTCTCATCGGTATATTTCTGTTTATATTTATCGTCCTTGCGATAGTTCGATTCAAGATCGAGATAAAGTCATTAATAAAAGACTGGCATTTGATCCAAGCTCGATCCAAAATCAAAAAAATCTTTACTAATCAGTATAATAGCCACGTGATGGATCGATCTAAGATCGTAATCTATGAATAATCTTTGAAAAAAAAGAAGAATTAATTCCATCATATCACTATCTTGATTCAATTCAAAAACTCCTTAGAGACCTCTTAATAGTGTTATCAAGTCGATCGATGAGACGCGTCTCGTAAGAAATTATCACATTTCGAAGATCTATATTCGTCAAATTCGATCATTTATTATTTCATATACGAAATATGAACATATTTACAATCGATAATCTAAATTTATATATCCCTTGTCAAGATGTTTCTTAAATGTTTTTCTTTTTAAATGAAATTGCAAAAGAAACATTGGAGGGAATAATTGTCACTAGATTCGAGCTTTCATCTATTTCAAAT